CTTTACTCAAAGCTGATTCTCAAATCTATATTTTCAAAATTGCTTTTTTTCAAATTCGCAGACCTTCAATTAAATCTATACGCACAAATAGTCCGGCAGCAGAGCGGCCATGGGTGACATAAACTGTTAATATGAATCGAAAAAGTGTATTTGATTCATTGATGCATTCTCATTTTAATAAAATGAAATCAGATTAGATCTCACAACGCTTCACTCATGCTATATTGAAAGTGACCTGCAGCTCTAGGCGTTAAATTAAAATGCAAACCTACAGTGTTTTCTTCTCTTTGTTTTCTCCGATGGGTTTATCTCCTTCATTGCTTTAGGTCCAGAATGTGAACTAGATTATTATTCATTATATAAAAAAAGCTCTACCTAAATGATTTAATAACCAAGAGTCATTCTTAACACTTGTTGAATCCATGCTAATCCTCAAAAGAATACATGCTGGGAAAATGATTTCTCTCTTTAGGCTGAGAATAGAAGTGGAGCGCGCTTTGCATTTTGGCATCTTAACAGAGACAAACCAAACAAACAAGACAAACTACTACACAAATAGGACAATGACAACACAAAGGCGAAGGAGGCAATATGAGAAAGATCACATACAAAAAAAATGTTTCTTGGAGATCTATGCTCGCTCACAGTTGCGGGACCCTGTGGGACCACTTGGCCCGGATTAGCATGACAAGGTTCTTCCAGCAAAGGCCCTCCTGAATCTTAATGAGAAACAGTCCAACTGAGACATTCAGAATATATTTTATATCTTGTCTTAATAGTCTCCTTGCACCTTCGCCACCAGCAAGGAAACTCTGAATCAATATTCAGTTGCAATGCACACCTGTAGTCAAGGTCAACTGTTTTCCCTCTACTTATCAATTATAAACACCGTACCTCGGCCCCTCGCCGGATTTGTGGATCTCATTTGTGTCCCACTGCGAACGACTCGTAGGCGCGGGGCTTGATGAGACATGGCCATTCCAGTCAATAGATCCCGATGCCTTAATCATTGGAAAGAGAAAATATGATGCATATTTTTGCATTAATAAGTACAATTCACAAATCCATGTTTTCATTAGACTTTTTATTAGCTTGCAGTTAAAAGTATTACAATCTGTTTTAGAAAATAATTTATGATTATATTTTACTGGAGCATGGCCAGGTTTGTTGTATTATTGATTCTCCTTTATTTCTGCTTAAGTATAAACATATGCACTGTAGTGACCTTCATATTAAGGTTTGTCCATTCCTCAGGACGATTCAAATGGTGGGCGATGTTATTCAGAGCTCTGGAGTACAGTTGCTTCGTTCATGAATCTGTTAATACACATTTTAAGCAGTACCTGCTCTTATGAAGGCTTTCAGAGCACATAGAGAACAGACAGAGGCTCAGCATGTTGCTCAAAGTTTCTTTGATATGAAAGATACCCATTGGTTATTGAGTTACCATTTACATGACACTCCCGGTTACATTTAATCTAATCTTCAAATGGAACAATCATATCTTCCCGTGAGGAAAGGTAACAAACTTCTGTTGCGTCTGTGATAGGCTTTGTTCAAATGTATATATCTGAGATTGCTGGCCCGCTTCAATTTTAAGTTGAAGTGTGTTTTCTTATGACTCCAAACTTGCTTATTACAACAACAGCAGCACTTTGAGTGTTAAGACGTAAGTGGGTACCCTGGCAAAACAAAAAGTGAAGGTAAGCGGCCATTGAGTTGTTACTTATTCCTTCTCTTCTTGCTGAATGATGAATGGAGATGTTGATGCTGTGTGATAAAGCAGCATAATGGATTAGTGTGCATGAGTCTGGGCATACAGGGGAGCAGTGTGGGAGTTATCTATATTGGCCTGCAGAAGGAGATCCCGTCGTTATTGCTTGAGGCTTCCCTCCAGCGAGTGCCAATGAGTTTATCAGACGATGGTTAGATTTACTGATAAGACAGACTCTCTCTCTGCTGCGACGGAACTGAACACGAGTAAAGAATGCATCGTGCCTATTTACTGAGAAACAACGTGATAACTCATAACATTACGTGGGGAAATTGAGTTATACTCTATTGGTTGTTCCTGATGTGTAATGTGCTGCATACATTAGTACGATATGTTTCTGATAAATGAGTCTTTTTGAAATATTCTTTCAACATTATCTGTTTCTTTCCTGTCGGACGGACCAGTCAATGTAATCACTACAAAAGGAGTTAAATTGTTTATTTTTGGAGGAAACCAGCACCTAAATGAATAGCAGAGGAATCAATGGCATTTGCTTGTGTGCTACAGTAGCTCAAGGTTTTTAATGTTTAGTGAGTTAAAACCATGGTAGCTCTTTGAAAAAAACAGAAGTATGGGCATTATTGAGGGGTAACCAAATGTGATGTGTCTTACGTTTTTTATAAACTGCCACAGTACACATGCATATAACTTGCTGGTCTATACATTAATCTAAATGGCTATTTCAAGATCCATCCTTCCTCTTCCTTTGTTAAGATATTTCTTATTCTGATTACAAGAGCTTCTGCAGGTCTCACCTTGAAACCCAGTCGTACAAATTAGCTGTTCCCCCTTGAGGTAGATTGGGACTCTGTGTACTGGCAGGGAATAGTTTATTTCATCTTTTTTTTTCTGATCCACTCGCTCTCATCCTTTTTTCATTTGAAATCCTGCATCTGGTAATTTCATAATTATGGGAGGGAATTATAACGAAGGCAGCTGGAGCTGCAGGTTAATTGGATTTTTCACCTCGACGAGACTGGATCTAAGTCGCCCATGGGCCGCAAATCTGCACATTTGAAGTTGGGGACAGGACAAAAGAGGCTGAGGGAAGAAAAGAGTGAGCCGTTAAAGGGTCCCCTTTGACTTCAAGAGTTTGGGAAGTTACTTTTGCGCTGCCAGTTCGTGTTTGTGGTTTGAGAGGTTTTCCTTTGCATGTACACAATCACTTTTATCCACGTTGATGGCATCTATAATTGGCGCTGTGTTTTCTGTTCACAGGAGTTACTGCAGCGGCTACTGATAACCCCACAACAATCTTTGAGATGGAACTTCTTAAACTCCACTTTCAACTATGAACGCTGCACATTTTTGAATAAAATATTGGATAATTTGGAACAGCATACTTTTATAAAAAAAAAACATTCAAAAAGTATTACACAGATGATTAGTTCATTTAATGTTTAGGAAGTTTCTGTGTGAACAAAATACCAAGTGGTTTAAAGAAAAGTCTCGTTCTGTCTCCCAGAGAACAAGTTGAAAACCATCAGTGCATTCTAGGATTAACAAAAAAAATCGTTCATCAAGCAGAACATCTTTCATGTAATTGCATCACATCCTACTGAAATTTCTCAGATGCTGAAAATTACTTCTGACTCGACAATCATAAATATCCATGTTTGGACACACATTAGTCTCATGCCTCTGTTTACTCAACAACACATCCATCTCTAGCTGCTCCAGCTCGATTCTGCTGACGGGACTCTCCTCCTCGGTGTCCAGGGGCCGACGCGCCCCTCTGTGGGAGCAGCCGGGCCCTCAGCCCCTCGGCTCCTGGCCTACTTCTGAATCAATGTTTGACAAAGGGCGAGTCGTTCTCTGAGCAAGAGACGGGGAATTAGAGAGGCTCATGCCTGGAGAGAAGGCCACACGCAAAGCTAGAAGGTGCCAAGTCCACATTCCCTGTCACAGACAAATAGCCAATCCGAGCTCATATTTCTCAGCCCTTAATAATGAAAATAAACCTGCTTACCAGCAGAGTGTATCCCCGTCTGAGGTCACGGTGTGAGGATAAACAAACTGCAGTTAGAGACAGGGGTGAGGAAAGGTCTGGCAATTATTTGTTTGTCTATATATATATGAGGAGACTGACTACCTAATACCTTGTGGTGTCGAAACGTTAGATTGCGTTTTAATGTGGATTTTATATTTGACTGTTTAAACTGAACCCCACACTGAATAGTTATCTTTTCTATTTCAGGTAAACAGAAAATGCTGGTGAAAATTGACCCTCTGTTATTTGTGCTCTCAAAAACAATGAACAAAGATAAACTTTAAGGATAGAATAACTTGTGACAAGGACACATTTATTTTTCTTGTTTACTGCAGAGGCTTTTAAAGTTTAACACAGCATGCTGCACACAAAAAAGTTGTTGTGTTGGATAAGCCCCGCAGGTTAGTTGTTTACATCAATTGGATTTTTATAATTATTTTGTGTGACTGTCAAACTATATATTTTAATATTTGTTAATATTAACAAAGGTTTTCTGTTTCTGGATAAGAAAATCAAACTTTTGGGCTCTCATTCACGGATAAAACGCAGGATAGAAATCAATATGATTTTCTTTCTCATTATTATGCACGTCATTATGTCTGCCATTTCCAACAGTCAACAATCACCTCAACACTTGATGCCTAACTGACATTTAAGGGGTCTATACAAGAGATCACAAAAAAAGAACATAATTCTTCTCTGACAATTTGTAGCCTCCGATAATTGCACAAAATGTCACATAATTGTGGAAAAGTCAAAACAACATGCATCCCACACAGCATTATGTGCACTGGCTCTGACATAAAGTGCATTTTCGCTAAGTTCTGAGTCATTTCCTTCAATGCCAAATGGTAAACACTGCAATTTCCAGCTACCCTGCTGAGAGCTGTCACTCCGCCACAACTGGTGTTGTATTAAAATGCTTCGTAAATTAGCATTACCTGAGGCATAAACGGTACAGGAACTGACTGTGTTGTGGGCTTCAGCAGCAGCAGACATTAATTAGAGCAAATACGTGTCATACTCGGACATAATGTAATATATTTCTACAACCATAGCCATGTGTAACATTGACCCCTTATAAGGTCCGTGGACACATTTGTACTCCCACGCGGCATTAAAGCCAACATCTTACAAGATTTCTTACAGCCGGGCTTTTTTAATGGAGCCAGGACTATGCTGCTCATTCAAAAATATACTAAGTGGACAATGCTGTGAACCAGTGTCATTTTTGAACCTTTATTAGTGTTACAACCACACAGAGGAACATTTACAATGCAATTTTCCTACCTGAGTTTCTCATCTTTGAATCACATGGAAAGATTTGGCTTCTCTAACACAGACTTTGAAATGAGCTCTCTCTACTGCAGCGGTTGAGGAAAAAAGCAGAACAGAAAATAAATCGTTCAAGGTGCTTGGGACTTACTTATAACCTGAGTCAAAAGTGTATTTTGTCCATAGCTAAAATAATTAAAACCTGTTAACTCAAATAGTACCAAAAACACAAAACATTAAAAAGCAACTGGCATTTGACCAAAAATCTCACATTTATTTTATTTGTTATACAAGTGTTGAACTTTACATCAGTCTTAAGTGATGAGCCCCTTGGTAACATGTTTACATAAAAAAACATGAGCTACAGTACAGCATGTTTACCAGTGCTGGGAAATATTTACACATTTCCCATTCATTTTTTGGAAAGATTTTAATAAATAAAATGTCCAAACCCAGGCGGAACAACTACGTTTATGATAGAAACTTTATTGTCAAAAGTCGGTTTCAATTCAGTTGCGCTTGCCCATCAATCTACCACAAAAAAAGATCTATTTCATTCAGAATTACACCAAAATGTGCAATTAATAAATCACTTTACCTGGGTGTTTGCATCCCCATACTACTGAAGTAATGCCACTTTGGCAAAAATTAAATAGACATATTTTGATGGGCGATATCAATGGAACTCATTAAGCAAAAAACACTGTTCACAAGTGGGAAAAAGTGAGAATGCATCTTTGTAATTTGTTGAATCTTCCTTTCTTTTTATAAGCCTTGACGTTCAAACATACTACCATGAATGAAGTGTTGGAACCATAAACACACTGTATATCATATGTGCAACTTCTACACAATAGTTTCTCAAACGTTAAAATTTGCAATTAAAAGTTTTCTTCATATTTACGCTTTCCCATGATTTTTTATTTTACACTAGCAATACAACAAAATATATATTTTAGCCATTTTCCTTGACAACAGTTCAATGTACAGTTGAGAAAATATAAGGCCAGGGGCTTGATTGCTAGTGGTTATACAATCCAACTTCATGGTGAAGGAGAGCGACGCAGGACCTTATATTCCTTTTCCAACAGTCTGATCAGGAACATTGAGTCCACATCCTGGTCCAGGGTGTTGTATTGTTTACATAATAAAAAAAAAACAGGCTTCAACGGGGATGTTGGGGAGTGTATGTACAACCTTTTGAACAGGAAATTGCTGATATGATGTAGCCAGTAATGCTTTTTTTTTATTTATTTTTTTTATTTTCGTACCTTAAATTTGTCTCAATTATTTAACAGCAGCAGCACATTTAAATACATAGTTGGCTTGTCTCTTAAAATTGATCTCTGCAATTTATGTACAGTCTCATTAAAACTTTGCACTGCCATCACTGTGCACCAAGTCTGTAGGTCTGCAGGGAGGGGGGCGGGCGGGAGTGGCGTGTTTGGGGAGGAGGAGATGGCAATGCAGCTCGAGGAGGATGTTTGTAAATGGAGAGTGTGTATGATGGGGCTTCTACGCTCTCTTCAAAAATAAAACAAACAATTCCCTTCACTTCATTAGAGAGGACAGGACTGCTAAAGGGCATGAAGAGATTTGGGGATGATTTAAATACATTTAAAGGCTTGTCACTAACTGCATCTGTCCTTCCCGTACATCGCCCTCAGGGATGCCCCCATCTTTAGTAATAGGAATAATGTAACCATCGCTGCCCCCTCGGCCTATCTGGTAATAGGCTTGGAGCTGGTGGCCGGACCCTAAGTTGGGCATGCTCTTGTAATAAACGTCCTCGTTCTCGCTCCCCTTGCAGGGGGACAGGTCCTCCAACACGTCAGGGCTGCTCTCGGCGTTCGGAGAGTCTCTCAGATTAGGCATACTAGTGTACAAGGAGTCTCTGTTGGGGGACTGCAGACTGTCGTCGGGGTCGGTGGGGGTCAGCTCGCTGACAAAGGTTTCCACTTCCCCATCCGTCCTCACTTTCTTCTGGGGAGCGTACAGAAGCGAGTGAGTCCGCTGGGGGATGAGCGGAGCCTCCAGCTGATGGTGCAGCTCGAGGCCCACCTCGCCCACGTGCACCAGAGACGAAGCGTCGGCCACGATGGCGTCGTCTTCGCTGCTGCTGCCGCCTACCACCGTCACCTTGGGCGGAGCCCGCTCCGTGTGGTGGTGATGGTGGTACTGCGGGGGCTGCTGGTGGTGGGGTGGGTGGTGTAAACTGTGGTGCTGCTGCTGTTGCTGATGGTGGATTTTGTTACAGGCACGCAGGTTGTTGTGTACTAGCTCAGAGATGATCATTTTCTCGAAGGCAGCATCGTCCAGACTAAGGCCGCAGTCCACTACCTGCACACTGTTGCCAAAGTCCCCATTGCGCAGCGAGTAGCTATTGTTAAAGTTACCATTTAGCGGTAGTGTATCCATTGCACTTGTATCCCTCACCACGTGGTTCAGTGAGTGCCCTGCAAAGAGAGGGAGATGTGAGGGGATTTTACATTAGTCAACACCAAAAACTATCAAACAAAGGAACAACTTTAATGCTGTTTAGGATGCAGTTTCACACAGAAAACTCAAGTCAAATCAAGCCATGCCATAAATCCGTTAGTTAGGCACAATCCTTAACGTATGCATGCAGAAATCATTTTACTCTCTCACAGGTACATTTTGGCTTTCCCTTTTAAAAATGGCTTTGTATTAAGCAGAGCATTGTGTGTTTTTAGTCTGCCACAAAAGTGACACAGCAATGAAAAAGATCCCAAACAACATTAATAAACAGTAATGACCATCACAACACATCGGGCAAAAGTAGATGTCAACAGGTATGAAGCCACAAAGGGGCAGGCTACAACACTTACAGGTTTGTTCTAGCAACTAATAGGTTGGATGTGCCAAAGGGAAAGAAAGGACAGAGATGGGTAAAAAGATGACACAGACAGAGGGGAAGTAGTCATGTATCAACATAGGACAGCCATCTTTGTTCTCACTACAAGGGGAGCCCACAAGCAGCACTCCACCATCACCACACACAGCAGGTGAAAAGACTCACTTTATACAACTCACATCATGTCTGTCTGCTCAGGCTATCTGGTCTAAGAGCAGCTGATGTACAAAAGAAAGTAAAATGATTTATTGTAACATGAAAAAGAATCACTGAAAAGAACAAAAAACGAAAAGTCTTAACTGCAACTTAGCAAGAGCAAGGGTTCAGCAAATAAAACAAACAAGCGTTAAATAGCTTTTTACTTTTATGAATTTAGCCAACAGCTACTTTTTTGTAGTTGTTTTTTCTTCTTAGATATTTCTGCTGGTGTTGGTACACTTTCTATCCATAAGTTGGCAGCTTGTGCACCCAAAGCTGGCAGAGGTCAGAGCTCGCCTGCAGCCCAGCACTTGGCATCCGTCACAGTGACAGTTCCCAGGGAGACCCCGGTCACTAGCAGAACAGCTCAAGAATAACACAGCCGCTGCAGAGGTCACGCGCAGTCATGTTAGGAATTTCTCAAAGCATGGAGGTCATGGAAAACAGCCGAAAAAAAGATAAATATTAGCTATTCTATGATGGAGCGAGCTGATAAAGGAACATGTGCTCTGCTATGGATAACATGCCTCCTTGAAGAACAACAGACGTAACAAATTACAAAGAAGACTAATGGATATTTTACAGCGGTGTTTGTCTCTTCTAAAAAAAAACGGGGATTGATCGAGAGTGTAGGAGGCATGTGAAAATTGGAGTTTCTACTTTTTCTATTGAAAATGCGGGGAAAATGACAAGAAAGAAAAAAGGGGAATAACGGAAAATTAAACAGCTGCTGCCATGACATCCAAGTGCTTGGGCCTGCTAGGAGGCAATTTAGTGTCCAGACAGGTACTCTCTGCAAAGGTGTGAGGTGAATACTACTGGACACTGAGACTCCAGAAAGCCACAGGACGACAGATAATTTGGGGGAAAAGAAAAGAAAAGAAAGAAAAGAGAAACCTCTCTGATAAATGCTTGTTTGTGTCGGTAAAAGCAACACATTTTTGGTCTGTCAACATCACAAATTAGGCAGAGGAGAGAGAGAAGCAGAGTAATGGGCATTTCGATAAAGCTGTCAGATCTTGAAGATCACTTCAAATGGATGCATACATCTTTTATTAGTCGTCAGATCAGAGTCGAATTTGGTTGGATAAGTTTGTGAACCACTTGCTCACTGAGTGTGTGTTAATGGCCTAAAGTAAACCAAGTGATAGTGCCAGGGTTTCGGTTGTTTTTAAAAAGCATGCTGAAATAAATTTACATTTGATAGGCAAAGTTAAGTTTTACTCCCATACTTGTCTCTCTGTAGGTCACTAGAGGAAGCAAAGGGGAAAAGCACAACACATGACAAAAGATGCCATTTCAGTTTCAAAGTAGAATAGAAAACATGATTGCAGCAAAGTCTTTACAGTGTGAGAAATGCTTGAGTGCCATGTGTTATTGAGATGTGGTGATTTTTAAAAATGTTTATCAGCTATTACAAAATGTATCTATACACAGAAAACGTAATGCAAACGTTGCTTTACGTCAATTTGCATTAGGCAACATAGATTGTGCTTGCACTTGAACATGTTTTAGGGGGAAAGCTCCCTCTAAAACACACAACAAAACTAATCACCTGGCATATTCAGGAGCATAAATCTTAATAATCATGCAGTTTATACTACAGCTTCAGGTCTAAACCAATGTTTACATTATCTCAAGGCAGAACATGTAGTATCTCTTTCCCATCTCAATCATTATGTCCCGTTTAGAGTTTGGATAAGAGAAATACGAGAACACAAAGGGTGGGCCGAGAAGAGCCACAAAAATCTCTTTTCTACATGAAAACATGTGCGCGCACACTATGTACTGCATCAAGTATATAGGAGACAATGATTCAGAAGGAAAGGCGATACTGCAGAACATCCTGCTTTTAAATTTGGCCTGCTGTACACTCAAATAAAGAGACACAGAGGAAAGAAAAGAAAATAGTCAAAGGGAGAAGAAAAGCCTGAAAGCAGGTGAAAGTATTAGGTAAGCACACCTGGCGAGTTAAACACTGGAGCCGTGGGGGTGTTACATACGACTGTCTCAGCCAGTAAGGTGTTATAAGGGTTGTTAGTGCCTTGTGGTCGAAGAAGAGGATTTGTTAGTAGATAATTCCCGGTCATTCCTGGAGTGGCAAGACAGAAGAGCAGTTTAGTGTGGCGCAGTCAGTGGACAGTGATTGAACGTTTCATGGAGAAAAGAAATGAATTTTGTGCATGTGAGGAGTATGGTGTCACCCAGGATGTTTAGTTGGAAGTTGAGAAGGCAGATTAAGGTTTGAGAGGCAACCAGGGAGCAAAAAGAAACAACTATTCAACCTTTTTGTTCAGATGATTAAGAAGGTTTAGGTACCAATTTTCAAATTTCAAGGCAACTTCTAATTGTGTTGCAGGTCTTTTATAACTACAAACACATTTTTCAACCATTACTAAAGCCCATCAATTCGTATTCACTGGTTATGTTTACTTATATTTTTTTATAACATTTCAAAATCGAACTGACCTGGTACAAAGGTTAGACTATTTGAATCACGCCACCATTTAACATCTCGCTGAAGAGCAGAATCCTCCTCAGATTGCATATCAAAATCATTATTTAGACTTGACTATTCTTTCCAAACCTCATGTAACATTACGTTTTATTTTCCTCAGCTTGCGGTGTGTTTTAAGGATGTGAAGTATTTCCACTGCCATTTATCACCTGTGTTAAATGCCATCTGTCATGTTGGGAAGTCTCCAGGGATGTTTTTAATGACAGGGAAGTGCTTCCAGGAGATAGAGCACTCTTTTAGTGCACTGACTCTCCGGGGTAACTAGGCTAATACACCCTGGAGTGATCAATATCCAACCTTTACATTAACATCGCCAGGAAGTGTTACTGAAGGAGAGACAAACCCTGTTTCTTTATTTGTACAGTTGTGTTGGCAAGTCAAAAATGTGCTTTAAAACCTTAGGTGTAATGTGTTGCCTTGTGTGAGTGAAAGCAAAAAGCGAGGCGAAGGCAGAGAGCGTTGTAGCGACAGCAGTCAGAGGAGGGAGGAAGGGGTGTAAACCCTTTTTTCTCTAGCATGCTTGAAAAGCCATTTCAGAGGCAGCAGAAAGCCTAACAAAACACTAAGCACTCCAGGTCAGTCAGAGTTGAACATCATCTTCTCATCATCATATTTGTGCTCAAGCTAAATAATAAATGACAGTTTTTTTTCTCCCGCCCTCATAAATCCCTCTGTAAAGTAACAGAGGTCACCTTACATGCCAGGCAACAAATGGCCTCTCTGCGTGTTAAGATTTTCCTGAAATATAATTTACTTTTTTTTTTTTTGCCCTCCCTGTTTTTACTTGTGTTTATGTTTCCCCAGAGCCTGGGTATGGACTTTTTGACAGCCAGCACTTAAATAAAAACGCTTTTCTAGCCTTGCCCCAATTTGAGTCTGACGTTAGCAGCCAGAATGACATCGCACAGAGTATTTGAGGACGGATTTTTGTAATCCTCGGTTGGCAGCACAGGGAGCCTAGACTAAAGTCTACATCTTTTTTTAGAGATAAAAACATACAGCTCTGTCTTTTCAAGCTGAAGGCATTTATTACGATTAGGATCCTCTACGGCAGGTTGAGATCATTTGTACTTGAAGGAGGTATTTTTAGCTGGATGATGAAATGTGTGCATAGGTGTGCATGTGGAGAGAAATGAGGTGTGAACTGACCTTGGTTAAGGGTGGAGGTGCTGTTGATGTCACCTGAGATAAAGGAGGACTCAGATTGCTTTCTTACGGTGTCATTCCACATTCTCCTGATACGACTCTGTCAGGTCAACAAGGGACAGTCATTAGGACTTCAAACAAGCCCGCTCACCTTTCAGACCAACTCTCATTATTCTCTATGTACATACTACTGATTTACCACTGCTCCAGTGAAGCAAGGGCAGTGCTAATGTTCGCCTTCTATGTATGTCTGTTTTCAAACTAATCATTTTAAGTCAACTTTTGAACGACTTTGGGATGTTTCTCTCTAAGCCCAATACATCTGGAGGTATTCATAATAATAATAATAATAATAATAATACATTGGATTTTTATTGCACTCTTCCTAATGCTCAAAGACGTATTGTCTCATAGGGGCTATTCCTTAATAAGTAAGGCATAAAGCAAACGTTTTTTTTTGGGGGGGGAATTTCAGGCTTTTCCTGCAATGTGCTTGCAATGCTCTTTAAAGAGTGCAGTACTGTATCCCATGCACATGACGTTAGTGAGAAAAAGATAAAAGCAAGTGCTAAAGGGGGCAGAACAGAAGAAAGGTTCTCATGCAGTACAGAGGATGCTGCTTGTAAAGTGTGGTATAATGTTTGTGTCACTTGATCTACCACTGAAGCTAAAATGCAGGATTTGCATTTTCTTTGGTCATGCTCATGATGAAAGTATTACAGTTTTAACACTGTGTTCCTCTGGTTCGGTGCTCAGGGAGTCTTTGAGTGAATGAAGCGGGGGTCTACCTGGGTACCAGAGGAGTAGCGAGCGCTGGTCCGGGTGGTGGAGGTCTTCGCAGAGCTGTGGGAGCTCTCAGTCGGAAGCCCTCCGCAGCAGTACGTGTGGCGGAAGCACTTGCTGTACTCTTTGCGGACCTGTGCGAGCAAACAGCCGAATGTTTACCTACAGCACATTGTTGACTTTACATATGACTTAACCAATATCTTGAAGCCAGCAGTGTTTGTTCTTCTTATCAGTGTGTGGTGCTCTGTGAATTCTGCATTAAGGAGCAAAGGTTTTTCCACGCCAGCGTTTCACCTTGGGAGAAAGATAACTTTGTCTTTGAACACTGTGACTGCGGCTGACTTACTTTTTTCTGGAGAAGGCAGTGGAAAATAAAGATGAACATTCCTTGGAAGGTGTTGAATATGGTGAAGAGGTAAGCCATGACAATCGAGGCCTCGTTGATGAAGAAGAGGCCGAAGGACCACGTGAGTCCGAGCAGACACAGCAAAGCAAACGCTCCCATGACCCAGGATCTGAAGGACAGATAATAAAAAACACAAAGAGAGGACAAATCCAGCATGAGAGGCATTTAGTTATCAGAGAGGATGATGAGTGGGTTTATAATCACCATTACTATGAGAAACTAGGAAAAAAAGCTGTAAACCAGGCAAGAGGAAAACAATAAAATGAGAAACAACACCTATGCCATCATCAACACATGTCCCACCCCTCCATCCACACACACTCTCAGCCCAGAGGCCAATGCAGCTCCTGTCGTCAAACAGACAGGAAGGAGGCAAAGCCTTGATCTGGTTTTCTGTAAATAACTTTTTACGTGTTAGAACATAGAGAACAGCATAATCAAAAAGCACAGCGTGATTCAAAATAGGCTAAAAAAAAAAAAGGCGTTTGATACTATCATACAGTCAATATTTATCTAGTGATTGTGTTATCAGAGCTGGAGAACTAAGCAGATGTGGAAAGAGTTCAAGGGAAAAGAAGGAGACTCCCCGCCTGGTGTTTGAAGGTCCTGTGGAGCCTTCAGACACCAGCAGCGGTCACAGTTCAGCGCTCAAACACACAACAACAACAACAACACTGGATTTCAAGACGAAAGACACGGTGAAAGTGAACAATCACATGGACACTGGATGAGTGGCTTTGAAGCTGCAGTTTGGGAGAGGAGGGACCGGCGATAGAAAGGAAGGCAAATAAAGGAGAGAAAGAATAAACGAGGAGAGAGGGTCAACTGCAAGCTGAAGAGGAGAATTCTGGGCAACATGTCCTTACTTGATAAACCGTTTATTATCTTCATAGCTAGAGAGCATGATAAGCAGGAAAAGAGAAACACAATTAGATCAGAGCGCATCACAGCGGGGTTAGACGGCAGTGGAGTATAGATGTCTTTGATCCAAGGGAAGTCACTGAGGCAATGAAATTATTAAAGGTCTAACTGAGAGTTGTATGTGTTGCTGTTCATGATTCAATTAAAATGTCTGTGTACAGCATTTGGTCAGAACATATTGTCTGTGGTTGAATTTGCATTTATGCTATTGTATGCGTGGGTGGTGGTGTTGTGTGGGTGAAGTAATCTGAGGTATATAGGGGGAAGCTTACCCAGGCAAATCTGTATTATAGTAGCCGTCACAAACGCGATAATTACTGGTGCGCATCGCAGGACAGAGAGAGGAGGAGGATGGGAGGAGAGGAGAAAGGACAGGCTGTGCGTTAACTTTGCCTTTACATGCAACATGCAGTGACACTGGTGCTAAACTGACTTTCAGACCAAACGTTGGCACAAAAAACAAACACAAAAAGACCACAAAGAAAACAGCTATCAATACACAATGTATTTCTGCAGTATACACAAGCTTAAACATTTCTAACATCCAAGAACAAATAACCCCATGTTGAATGTCACCATGTTCGGTAAATGTGTTTGTTTGTGGTTTCCTTGAGGGAGTAGTCTATCACAAATAAACCCAGAAGTCTAAATAAGCTTTTTTTCTGACTGTTCTTCCTGATCGCAGTTTCACCGCAGTGCTGTTATGTTGCAAACATTCATTAAGGAAAAAGGAGAAATAACAAACACTGGTTGAAAATAGCTGCTCCAACACAACGTGGTGGAAGTCAAAATACGAAAGATAATTGTACAAAATGACATGAGGCTGTGCTACTGCGAGCAACACAACCATATAACCCCACATGTAAGAGAACAGCAATAAATATTGTTTTCACAGAAGTGCAAAAAAACAACAAAACAATTAGTGCTTCAGAAAAACATAATTTCCCTTCCCAAAACCGAACACGTCATAAATGTTGAGGCGACTGAGGAAGCCTACACTTGATGGGGGTGGTGGTGCTGGGTGGTGGTCGTGTGGTGGCGGTTGTGTAGGGAAGGAATTTTTCTTTTTTGGGATTAGACGCTGGGATCTATAAAAAAAGGTTCGACATGTTCCAGCGGCAAACACACATGGTAGCTGTTCCACTGTACCCCGCCCTAGCAGAGCTAACAGCGCATAGTTAAGCTGCAGCCGTAGAGTGATATGTGTGTGTGTGTGTGTCATGTCTGTGCAATTCTGCGGCCAGTGGCTGCGAGCAAAACAACAAAGGATATAAAGACGACTCACAAAGTCTGTGTAGTCATCATGACAGCTAAGTCATGCCAAATGTCTCATTAAAAAAACTGCGTAACATTTTAAATCTCCAGAGTCACAATAATGAATTCTTCTGAAAAAAAGTTCCATTTGAACTGGATAATTTCACACTGAGAAACATTTTATGTATTCTAACGTCACTTGCTAGTCCAAGCGTGTATCTTGGTTAGGAGGTGGGGGAGGTAATGCATTTTGCAATGAAACATTATAAGATAAAAAAAATGAGTAACAGGTAAAATAGTCTTAGTTTTCCTGGGGGTTGTTCCAAAATAGCACCAGTGTTAAATTGCTGATAAGCAGAATAAAGCGGGGTTCTGCGTTTATTCCTTTACTTACTTTATATTCTCCAGTCGGCTAGAGTCTGGTTTCAGGGTGGTGGAGTGCTTCACCATTTTGTACATTGTGATGACCAGGAAGATGAGATTGAGCTGTCAAAACAGAGTAATGGCAGTGTTAATACATGAAGATGTATGACGCAAGATAAAGCAGACAGAGAGAAAAAAAACCTGTTAATTTGTCTATAAGTATTAAAAGAGGAGAGCCTTCAAATCTCTGCATGTCCACAGACTAATCCAATAAACATCTATCGTTCTAGCCGGCTCAGACGGGCCGACTGGCGCCAAATTTAGTGTCATTCTATATCAATAAGAGCATGGCAACGCATTAAAATCCATCACAGTGAAAAGAAAAAAAAGAAACAGCAGTCTGGCAGAAGTCAGAGGGGAATGAAAAGTAGCAGGAGAAATCAGAGACCATCTTGTTGTACAAAACAACTGCATATCATTTTATGCACATAGTGAAATATTATAAGGTGTAAGCAGCTACAAAGGCTTGAGGGAACACGGTATATGTCGTTCGATTCTTGTGTGGACAGATGGAAAGAGAGAAAGACAAAGAGGGGGAAGGAGATGGCGTTTCTTTCTGGTTTTAATGTATTAAATCTTAAGGGAGGCGGCGGCACATATCACGTTCATACAAGGATACTCTGTGCTTCGTTCCTGAGCGCATTTATTCGCTACCTTAAAAATCAATATTGTGATTTAGAGACACAAAGGCTGGGTGGACCAGCAAGGAGCCGCTACAAATAATTTAGGCTTACTTCGAAAACATTTATTCTGGGGCAAACTAGTCCCTAACACAGCATGTACATGCACTCACAGCAGAGAAACTGGACTGCGTTTGTACTGCAAGCCGGGCATGTATAAATAATGTCAAAGAATATCTAAAAAAACTGAATTTGAAACGTGTATCTCCAGTAGAGCATATCAAAGGATCAGAAACAAACCAAAACAACAGCAGATACTGTATAAGAGGGTGAGTAACACAACAAAAGAACCACATAGCATTTGCTGTAACCTTAGTCTTTTCCAGGTGAGCCTTATAAGCAGAGCATTTCAGTGTTATCTTGTTACCTTAAAAACAGCAAAACGTTGGCAGGAGAAAGAGATGCCCAGAACAAGGGCATGAAATAAATGAGTGGCCTTTTGGAGCTGGACTCAGACTGTGGCCATTCACTCTTGAACAGAAATTGTCCGTGTTCTGCTACACGCTGCTATCAAAAGACTGCCTGTGATCAATACATCACCCCCTCCACATGCAATCAACTCATGGAGCCGCTCACAATAGCCCAGGCCCCGCAAGGAGAGGGGCAAATGGAGAAAAAAGAAAATCCTGAATCATGAACCTTCTTTTATATCACAGATGGCACTGAAACTATGTTTTGTTTCGCAGCTATCAGCCATTATTTCTATCAGCTGCCTGCATGAGTCAGACAGTGGGGGAGGGGTGGAGGGCGAGGACTTTGAAAAACCCTTTCACACAGCCTTGAGTGGTGACATGGATCCAATGAGACAGAGGAGAGGGACACAGTACTTTAAAGTTACCTAGCAGCACGGCACATGTCTCCCCCCCCCCATTTAAAGTTACCTAGGCAGCCTACGGCAGCAATGTCTCCCCCCGTCACCCCCCCCACACCGACATGCTTTCGCAGCCCTCCTCGGGGATCCCCTGTGCCTGAGCGAAGCTGCCTTACTTCTATCCTTCACTCTGTCTCTGAATCATCACTGCAAGCCATGCAGAAGCACCTCGCCACACTGGGACTAAGGAGAAAGCTTTTTTTTTTTTTTTCTGAAGTGGACTGTGTGTCTGAACTCCAGATGAACTGCACGGGATAAAATATTAAAGGTGCAGATGGAGCTGTCCGGGTGATAAGAACTGCTCGTGACGTGTCATGATCCAACAGGCCTTGTGTTGAAGCTATCTCAAGCATACTAATGGCTGCCCCCACCACTCATTACTTCCATGTTCCCCTTTCATGGAGCTAATACCCCCAGTGCCCAGAGACAGGGCAACCTCTGCCGGAGAGCAAGGATCTAAATACCCTCCACCGGCTTTTTTTTCCCGTCAGTATTTAGGGCATTTTTTCAGACGGGAGCGAAAAAAAGAAAAGAAAAGGAAAGCAAGAAATAGGGAGGAGAAAGAAACGGAAGAGAACAAAGCATTCCCATCCTTCTTCGAAAACAATGTTATTTGGCACAAACATGGCCCGGGCGGCAGGTGGGGATCGAGACATGAGCCAAAGCAGTAGTTTTTCTCGGCTTTTCGCCTCCTTTCTCTCTCCCTCATTGACAAGGACAAAGCCAATTTGTAGAGAAACCAGGGTCACGGATGGTGTAGACAAACCTAGCTCCTGCATGCTCCCCTGAGATTCCCCTTTCCACAGTACTTTGTCTTTTTGAGTCAATTGTTGCACGGAATCAGAGGAGCAGTGTGCGATGCGCGAGCCACTGCTGCAAAAAGCTCATTCCTGTCACACATTAGCTCTGCTACAATACATTAGCTCCTCACAGGGTCATGATTCTATCTCTCCGGTCATCACCACCGGGATCCTGATCATCATTTCCACTGCAGACGCATTTTTCATGCAAATCATTATGAAGGCAATGCGAGATTGGAAAACAATGAGGGCCCAATTTAGGGAAAGGAAACATATTCCTGTGGGGCTGACAGAGCATTTGCTGAGACAGAGAGAAATGTGTGTTTGTTTTAATACAATGTTAGCTCCACCTCAATTATAAGCTCACACATTCAAAGCGGGTGCTGAGAGGAAAAAGGAAAATCAATGAAAACAAAAAAAAAGAGCCAGGCTTTTCACCATTAAATCAAAAACAATTTCAATCAAACGCCGACAGTAGTCCTGCCTGTGCTTTTCCTCCGACATTTTTAAAAATGCTACATCAAGAGGCAATGTCTCTTTTTGAGAGAAACTGTGAAATGTAGTCCAGTGAGGAGATTCGCCTTTTATCCGTTCTGTAAAAACACAGACAAAGAGCTGTACCATAGCTTTACTTTGAAAGCTGCCAGCGGTCTGCCAATGGTGTGCAAAGACTCGCTGGAAATTGACATGTGTGCCCCCTCGCTCTGGTATATTTTCAGGGTCAGTTTGATGTTCAACAGAGGTCACTGCATCTGTAGATACAGTAGCAGCCATTATGCTGGATAATGAACACAGTGCTGAACAAATACCGCCCGTCCTCCCTGCACAGCAGCAAGACAAGTTTGCAGGGCCTCCACATCCCTCGGTATGCACGAGGGCAAAGCAACACATGGTGAGAGGACCTATCGGAGGAATGCTATTTCTTTTTTTGATCAAGGCGGGAAGGATCCCCGAGGACTCGTTCTTCTGAGCCTCTCTGATGGAGCGGGAGATAATAATGTCATGACCAGTAAATAATTGCATGGCTCAATGGGACATATGTCATAATGATGCTATATGTCCTTCACCCCTGACGGTCCTTCACCAAATAGAAAGGTGTCTTTTCTTTTTCTTCCTCTCCCCAACACTGTCATCTGCTATTTACTGTGGGCACACACACACACACACACACACACACACACACACACACACACACACACACACACACACACACACACACACACACACACAGCGGCAGATGCAGAGGAGGGGGAAACAGGACCTATATAATCTCACATTGCCATCTAACAGTGTGTGCTGTAAAAATTACTCCTTGAGGCAATTTTTAATCTATTTTCTTCCTTTATCATAAAAAGTGTAACTGGAAGGCCATTAGGTGATGCCTGTGATGTGAGACTTCATGGGAATCGTGCGAAAGTGGGGTGAAAGTACACTGACAAATCCTGATCCTTGTCAGGTGGTAAGAGGCAGGGAGAATTGTCGGATGCCTCCAAATCTGTCTTTGGCGCAAAATTAACCTGTCATCGCTGCAGAGCAAAAATCCTGCTGACTTTTGCTTCAGTTCAACTCTCTCACTTCCGTTATCTCCCTCCTTCATCTCAGCCTCTCAGTCCCTTCCTCATTCTGTCAGTCGCAGTATTCAAAGAAAAATAAAACCGCTTACCATGATGATAAAGGTGACAGGTCCTATAAAGCTCCATATGAAATGATTGTCCACACTTAGCCAGCACCTATGACAAAGAAACACACACTTCAGCACACAGTACAGAAACTAAATCAGCATTGTCTTCCTGCTTTAATGGCCAAAAATATATTCAAGGAAATTAATATTTGGTTACTTTGTCTGTAGATATTGAGTGTGTAATTGCTAGCTTCAATTGGAGCTCTTTCAAAGGCTCTTTACACAGGTTGAACATTAATACAGTTGAACAAAACAAAGGGAAGACCCCGTGTAACCTCTCTTGATAGATGGGTTTTAGCCGAGATATGGCCATTAATCTACGTAAAAGGTTTTTCGGCACAGTGCTCTTCTCTTTAAGAGACCATTTACAAACAAGAGGTCACAGGAGGGTCTTTAAGCAGAAAGGCATTAATGTAGCCCGCCTCCCCCTGAAACCACAGTGTTGAGTCTGTCAGCCACTTTCAAATGACATAAAAAATTGAACAGCTCCCCATCTCCGGCAAAAAGAGCTCAAATGTTTTGGTGTAGTCTACAGGGATGCGCAAAAAAAGCCCTGGCAGGAATGATGAGTAGATTTTTTTTCAAAAGCTACCGCATACAGTCACAGCAGGTAGGCCCACACAGTTTGCATGCAGCGTGTCTGCTCTGCATTTCCAAGGATGTGTTCAGAAAGCTGCACTTACGCTTTCTTGGTCCCGTAGCTCCTGTAGTCGATCGCTGCGGAGACACCGACCACGATGGCAGGGAAGAGGTAACCAGACACGTAGTAATACTTCTTCCGAGAGTATTCACTTTCAAAGACCTCCACAAGCATGAGGTACAGCTGGACCCCTTCAAGACACATCCAGGAGAAGGAAGCCAGGAAGAAGAAGTGGAGGATTCCCGCGATGATGGCACATCCAATCTGAGAGAAAACAACACAGATTTAGACGATCATATGAATATTTTTTTAAGAAATAAAATGCAATCCATTTAAAAAATAAAAGGTTTTTAAGTTAACCTGAAGTCGAACAATTATTATATATTACAAGAGGGATATTCGTAGCGGTTCCTTTATTGAAAATTGTATATCATAAACCGTATGTCTTCTATTAAAACCCGCTGAAAACACACCACTGCTGCCCCCATTCAGCGAAAATTGATGAAAAAAGTAATGAATATTCATTCACCACATGGACTCTCACTATGCACAGGCTTCGATTTCAGTACGGCAGCAATTTAAAATACCATTTGGATGTAGGGTTACATTTAGTGGATTTAATCATGCAGCTCAGGATTTCAAGCTTAGATTTCCCAGCTTTATGCAAAAAACCTTTTTTTGTGCGTGAGAGACAGTGTAGGTAAAAAGAAAGGAAAATAGTATGAATGCAGGGTCAGCCATGGCAACGCTGGCTTTAAGTGAAAGAGGGAAAAAGAGCTGTCAAGTGGAAGACACGGCCCTTTAGTAATGTCTATTAATGTTGCTGTCCCACTCATGTCATGTTGAGGACAGGCAGAGAAGGTTAGAAACAAACAATGCTTAACGACTCATCAATTTCCCCCTGAAAGGGTCTATTGTTTTGTTCGGGGGCGAAAGGAGATGAAGTGAGAGGGAATGAATCAAACTCAAATCAATGGGGTGAAATCGTTCCAGCTTACCCTGGGTTCCGTCATATCGATACCGATTAGGAATATTAACTCTGCGATGAAGAGATTGATGCACAAGTTCTTGTGGATTGTGTTGCGATCGCTCTGCAGGCCCCGGAAGAAGCAGAAGGTGAAGATGCTGATGGTGAGGCAGACGAGGGACACCACGATCCCAACGCGCGTGATGACCGTCAGAAGTAGCTCGTGCACTCTGTCGTGAATCTGGAAGAAACAAAAGGTAAACAGCAACACATTTAGAAATGAGTTTCTAAAAAGAAAGATGACAATATGGTTTTCTTTCAGTGCTGCCATAAATACTTCATTTGTTGTTATTTATTGTTATGTTTGTCTTTAATCATTTGACCTTATCAGAAGCATTGCTAATACATCAAAATGATCAATTATGCTAAAAAAAAAAAAACGAAGCCAAAAAATAGCTTGGATTCATCAAAATTAAGTGATTTCGTTTTTTTACTTGAAAAGTCAATGTCCTTTCAATTTACAAAATAACAAGCAAGTTTTAGGAATCAAAAAGGTAAGACATTTTACTTTGAGTTTTATGTTTGAATAAAGTGTAACCCACTTTATATTGAGATTCTTGTATTCCATATTTGTAACCGTAGGGTTGGTTTAAGTTTTGTACTTTTTAGGAAATGCATATTTTTTGGTAATGTAGGAAATGTGATGTGTGTTTTACAAAAAAATCTACGGGGATAGCATTGCAAAAACGGAAAATAGTCATGTTATTATAATTATTTATTCATTAATAAAAAAAGATTCCAGCTATTTATTATTGAAACATTTTTTGTTTCCACTATTATTTTCTGATCCTGCTAATCTAGAAATGGTTATGCTTGGGGTTTTAGCTTTGCTTAACAGAAAGGAAAACATGTTAGGAATATTAAACTTCAGTTTTAAAGAGTAATCAGTTAAAATATTGATTTAAAAAAAATGATGTGACATACTGAAGTTTCACGGTGCGCCATGAGGATTGCAAAGTTGGTGAGATGGCTGCAGGAGCAAGTGGTGTGGGTTTTATTGGAGTCCAGGAGTTTGCACCCTTGGGTGGACCAGTGGCCCATCATGCTCCTCTCAGAGTAATTCCAGAAGGAGCAATTGGAGTTGAAGTAGTGCTCAATCTGCAGATAACAAGAGATATGGTTAAGTGTCCAAATAATTGACTGTCTGAAATTGAAGTACATGTAGAACACGGAGGACATTTACCCCCTACTCATACAAAGTATGTCACGCACTGATATAGATGAGGATTTTTCACTTCACAGCTCTCATGGAGCAATTCATATGTTGTATCTCATTTGGCACATGCTTGCCAAATCAACCGAAGCATAGTCTGGTATATGAGGCCTTAATAACAGAGGAGCATAATTGTTTGACGGCATGTCTTTGGAATTGCAAAATGTCTCTGATAAAGAATGGAGTCACGCATGGCCCTCTGGGAACTCTAGTGACAACTTTAAAAGACGAAAGATAATTGGTGCTCCAGTAATTTCATCCTAGATCGCACGGCTAATCTAGGAGTTAATTTCCCGCACTATAAAATAAAATGGGTATCATTTATATCCCAATGTTGATTAAAGAATTAGTTTTCATTAAGAATTCACTTAGGTTCTAAAGACTCCTTTAATTTGATGTTCAATGACTTAAATAAACTGCAGACTGACCTAGCCCGACATTTACAATTCAAATTGCAGATCTCTGTCTACTCTCAATGTTCCCTCCTGGTGTTATTTAATATGACCTCTCCATTCACTCCAGCAGAGAGACTCACATCGATGTGCTCCAGGGTAAAAATCACCGGGTCGTTAATGAATACGCGGCTGGACTCTTTGTTGATGGAGGCAGCGATGATGTCAGAGTTGACAGCCACAGACACGTTGCTGCCATAAGCCTCGTTGGCCATCTTGATGGTTGTGTTTTCAGCGCTGAGGAACTGGCCCAGATTTTTATAGAGCACAAAAACCAGCTTGGCAACTCCTGTAAAGAGTGAAAGACGAAGAAAGACATCAGAGGTTGAGAAACTACATTTATTCCAATGAAATTCCATTTAAAATATTCAACAAAGGAACGGCAGAAATGAGTGAAAGATGAGTGAGAGATAGAGACAGAACGCTTTTAAAAAGCCTGTCATTTTCAGCTCAATTCACAGGGCTTGGAGTTTTTGAGATAAACTCCATTGTTGTGCTTATACTGTACACTCAAACCAACTATTTAGCTTTTCACAAAAACAATGAGAGCCATAGTTAAACACATTTGAATAAGCAGTTTTCTCTGAGAGTGGGCAGAACATTTAGCACAAAGTTTCTTTTACTTTTTTTTTGTTTTTGTTATGTCTTAGTGAGCTTACCATTCCGACTGTTGAGCTTCACGGTGTTTGCCGACAGCTGGATTGAGATACCGCCCTTGCTGGACTGTGGAAATTTAAAATCCTGGACCTGGCCATCTGTGCTGAGCACATACACATCCAGAACTGCAGAAAGACAGAGGATGGGTTAGAGATGAAAGGTGAAAGGACGAGAGAAAGGACCGGATATTTTCTTCACAAACTGAAATGTTGGCACAAAAGAAAAGATAGTATAAAAATGTCAAACAAAGTGATCATTTCATCACTGAGAGACTCTTACTAATATGAATAAAACAACTCTGCTGAGGAAAGAAAGAACTAAAGAAAAGCCGTCCTTATGTGGTCTAACAGCAGAATAAAATAAAAAAGGAAGCTGTGGATAAACAATGTCTTTTTTCTGACTCCACAGCAGGCTAATGTTCACATTATTGTATAGAGTTTCAAGGTCTAGACTCATACATTTATAAACTAAGCGTGCGTAATCAGAGAATCCAGTCTATTTAATTGTCTGATATTCATCACTTTGTCAGTAAGCGACTCGTTAAACCTAATATGCGTTGCTTTCCTTTCCCCCCAAGGTTTAAATGCTTATTATGAAAACAAAGTCCCTTTTTATGTGGCGGCCTTGCTTTCCTATCACAACAAATACTCTCTCAATGAATTGGAAGTAATCAAATTAACTGAGCTTGCATCAATCAAGAGCTCTTGTCATTTGCTTACCACAAACTCTTGCTTTACTTACTTATGTTGTCTGCAGGAACTTTTACAATGGCAGGCTCCATGAGGTTGTCGGCGAGGACAAACGCCCCCTCCTCCAAAGTGTCCAGTAACATGGTGGCTGCGTGCGTCTGCTCCGTTCTGTTCATGTCGTGCCAGGACTTCAAGGCCTCCGGTCGCAGAAGGTTATCTACCGTGTCCACAATGGCCTGTGTCGAAGCAGACGAACAAACACACACACAAAAAAAACAAAAGGTACTTGAGTAACTCTGAGAAAAGAACACAGTTTGTGCAAGCAGGAGCAGGAGCATGCAGACACTGAATAGATGAGATGCTGTGGAGAAGCATCACTTCTCTGAGGATTCAAATAAATCAATGTGATGGGAAAAAAAAGTCATAGAGGACACTGTTTGTTGGGTGTGTATACAGTGTGACATGATAGATTAATTAGAGCCATTTACAGAACAAGAAAAACATTTTGCAAGTGCGATGATCAAGAAGGATGAATTGCATGAAAGGAAAAACAGGAGCATCACGAGAGATGGTGCGGATTCAATTTCTTTTTCAAGGACGCGGCATCAGGGCAGACATTTAGGGTCACAGCCTATCAGCTCAGTCCAATAACAGGATAATAAGACATGGCACGCTTAAAGAGCCAAAAGCTGCAATTAAAATTCTCTAATTACAAATTAGTCTGTATGTAGATTTTGTTTTTTCTTAACTTTTTCTTACACTTTATCTTCTAGTCGTCAATGCCGTATACTTAGCTGTATAAATGTCATTAAGACACCCGGCAAAAAGCACTTCAACAATAAATATGGTAAGAATTTCACTTGATGTGTATCCTTCACGCGAAAATGTTTCCAGCCTCTCACTCTCTGCCACCTGAACAGCTTAGGGCAAAAACACCAGATAAATTAGGCATAAGATCCAGGCTGAGTTTTCTCCGTAGAAATAATCAAATCAATGAGTCTAATCAGGGAATCAATGTCGGCACGGCTGGCGGAAAGGTTGGGGGGCAGCTGTTAGTGATGTTGCGTCAAGTATGGCAGATGTCAGATAATGCTGACTCAACGATGTCCGTCCTAAATCTTCGCATGCCACCATTAACATCGACACACCCCTCTAACAAGGCCGACTTCTCTCACCTCAAATCTACATGTTGTGACGTTAAATAACAAATGATGATGAGTCATCTTTAGGGAGCTCGTGTGACTACAGACATTTATTTCCCTTTTCCTCTTTTCTTTTTATGAGCGCACTGCCATTGACTGGTTAATTAGCCCGATCCATTTTAATACCGTCCCGAAGGAGAGATTTGGATTGAGGGGGGTGACTTTGGTGGCAGGTGGAGGAGGACACTGATCTCCCTAATGGTGGAGGGATATATATGGCCAAAATACTATGATGTAGGAACCTAGGCCGATAGCTTTCAAGAAGAAGGGGGAGAATATGGTTTAACCCGTCTAACCCTATTAACCAAATAGAGCTTAAGATTTGCAACTTTAATTTAAGAAACAATGACTTGTATGACCTAAAACTTGTGTCCTTGTGAAACAAGACAAGACATGCAGTAAAAGGTCAGGTAATGGTCCTTGATAAAAAAAGGAAAAGAGGATTTGAATAAATCACAAGTGAGCTGTGTTTGATGCAATATTCAAGAGGGTTTTATATTGAATGGAGCGGTGGTATAAAAGCAAAACATTTAACAGAGCAGCAAATCCTTCAGCAAATGAATAAGGAGAGGGATGTAGGAACAGGATGTTTGTTGAGTTGCATGTTATGCATCCAGACGTGCAATCTTGAGTCAACACTTAGAAAACATATAATAGGGAATAACAGAATGAAAAACAAAATACACCATTGCTGCCAACGCATAGAGGGGGAACAACACAGAGACACATCCATGTAAAGAAGCCATCTCTGTAATAGGAGATGACTTTTCTTTGACTTTAGAGAGCACTTAAGCTACGATTGTGTCTGTGTGTAAGGCAATTACTCAAAAAAGCAGGAAGCACAGGGAGGAGGGAGAACATCACAGTGCAGAGGGGACATGCTTCTGAACTGGGGCTGGGGCAGATACAGTAGTACAGGAAATAAAGGGGACGGCAGCAAGCAGAGTGGGCAGAGGCATTGCTTCAGTACCTTCATGTATGCCCTGCATGTCCTTTCTCGTTTTTGAAGCTTTTTTATTAGAAAAGAAAAAGAACACAAAAATAGAGACATGTAATTTGCACAATTTGAAGAGTATAGGCGTTGTAGCCCTGACTGAATCAGTCGATTTACAAAGTAACTACTGAATGATCCAGCCACTCCCCTTTTCATGTGCCGCAGACCTGCTTACCTGGAGCTCAAAGTGCTTAAGATCTCTGATAGATGTCAGAGTCTGAAATAATATAACAACCTTTTTTGCCTGTTTGTCTCATAATTTAGCTGAACTTGAAAAGATGAAATACAGAAAGGCATGTGACAAAATAACAGCTACTCTACATTACTGCATTACTTTTGGGAACACTAATATACCTTGTTGAAGCTCCGTCCGGCAGAGTCCTTCTCGCTGGGCCGGAGCTCCTGCAGCTGAGCGTCCAGGATGTCCACCAGCTGCTCCATCAGGCGCACCGAGGAGCTGACGTCCCCGGCAAAGATGGGCCCTTTGGTGTGCTTGGCTAACTCGTTGGCCAGGTTAGCGGCATTCTCACCGCTGCGGATCTGCAGGGAGAGGGAGTGAATAATGTTCACAGGAATGCAAGAACACAGACTTTGAAAAAAGATTTCTTTACAGCCTTGTTTCAGGCATCAAATCAGACTTGAATGAGTCCGTGAAATGCCAGATTTGTCTTTCTACACATAGGAGAAGTTGCCATGGTGGCAGTTTTAATTGTGTGGTAAGATAGAAAAACACACAGAGCCCTTTGTTACAACTAATATACACATTTACTGCTGTGACACCTCTGATTTATTCTATAGCTTATATTTGTTTTCTGAAAACATAAACAACTTTCCAGACCTATTTCCTATCTGATAAATGCAACTGTTAAATCTCAGCCAGCTTTGCAGCCATCTTAGCAACAAGGACATGCTTCTATTATTTGTCTACCCTTTGTATGTTTATAAGAAACACATTGCAGTGACATAGGGAAAACATCGAGGCAGAGCTTATACAAACCTTTTGGGCAACTTGGTTGACCCAGTGGGAGGTACAGTTGCTGAGATCAGGGCCCTTCGGGTGCCAGGCCCCAGTGGAAAGGACACATGAATAAGAGGCTGTGCCTGAAAGAGAAAACAAGCACAGAAGACTCACGTTAAATCAAGTCATATCAGATTTATTTTCCCAGGAAGTCCTCGACAGGGCAAAACAGGACAAGGACACAGATAAGATAACTGCACACGAACAATAAATATACAAACATGCAAATTGATAAATCTCATATGAAAGTGAAGCCAGAGAAGGACTGCCTGTGGTTCACTCAGAAACAAAGGCCTCAGAATGTAGTTTTCTTTTTTAAGACTCTAAAGGAAAGAAAATAGCCGGATACAGGAAACTCACAGACAGGCAGATGAACATTCTGCAATTCATTCAGAAAATGTTTTAAACGGCTCATTCCTATTTTTGCTTCAGAGCGACAACATGTTTTTCCTCGTCCTAATTATCCCGTGCCTGACCAACTCTGAGCACTAACACGATTTCACACACAATCAAAGGAGGGAGGCACGTCTCCACGCAGGCTGCAGGAGGAACAGCTGAGACTGCTCCGCAACACAGCCGTTACAGATTGCTAAATCATGTTCCGACCTGGAGTGACACAGCTAAAAACCTAACCGCTTTATAATCTGCCGTCCCCGTTTTCCCTTAACACCGACTTCAACTGAGGCCTGTTATAGATACAAAAGTTGTATGCAAGATTATCTCACACATCTGAACAAACTCTGGGATGTTCTCCGGGGACGCCTCGGGTCATATTGAAAGCAGCGAGCACACGGCCCTGAGAGGAACAGAAGTGCTGTTTACCTCGTGTTCCCTTGGGGCAAGGTCGCTCCACGATCATGCCCCTCTGGGTCTGAGGCCACATTATGTCTCTTTTCTCGATGGCCTCGCAGAAGCGCTCGGGTAAAGGGAAGGACTCGAGGGGCGGAGGGGAAGTAGTCTGCAGAATCACAGGAGGAGGCTTGGGCGCTCCCCTGCTGCCGTCCTTGAGCCCTGTTGTGGAGCTCGTGTTGGCCACACCCCAGTGCACCGTGGTTGTTGTGGTGGTGGTTGTCGTTTTCTGAGGCTGAGGGGTCGTGGTGACTTCTGAAAGTGGTGGAGCTGTGAAGAGAAAGAAGCAACATGTTGATGAGGATAACAGCTACGTGATGATATTATCGCCTCCACGATTTATGGAGCTTGATTCTCCCTAGGAAACATTTATTATGGGTGCTAATGAACACATGATCCAGTGCTATGGAATAACATATATACGAGGAATTCAAATCAAATGGTAGTTGGACCTGTGGTTGTTGTATAAGGTTAGCTAATTAGCGTGGCATCCCTGGGGTGCATGATATGGATATATGAAGGGTTGAGCTGAGAAAACTGTGGCAGCTATTCAACTTGACCTTCTGGTGGGCAGATGCCCTCATATACCGCTAACGATGTCCCCTGTAACTAACATACCTCATTTCTTTTCTGACCATGTTTAAAGATGTAATGTTTAACATCACATGTATCCCGTTGTGTAAATTGCAGCTAAGTGCTTTGTGCAACAAGCGTATTTGCATTCCCGTTGACTATGTCTTATCCAAGGCACTCAGTCTGCAATGAACAAGACAATAATTACAGTAACATCCCCCTGCCTGGCAATCATTCCTGGCTGGGAGATTTTGTGGCATGGCTGATTAAGTTTCACTAGAGTAACACAGAATCTGTATGTGTAGCCATGGAGCCTGAACATTCATTTTGCAGTTGTTTCTTGCAACAACTCATACTCTGATAAAGCAGGTGTGCAGTAACTCATGCAATGCCCCAGGCAAAAACAATATGTTTCAGTCCCAGGAAAAGAGAAAATAGTGCACTCTTTACATTTAACATGAGCCACTAAGGAAAAACTATGAAGACATTTTTCATGTGATACACCAGAGAAGTGAGAAGCACTGTAATTACATTTCACACAAGTCAAACTGAAGGGAGTTTTATAGATGAAATGTTGATACACATAAAATATTTGATATAAATCTGGTCCACATCCACTGAGTACAAAAAGAAAACATGACCTCCCCTCTGTAAAAAAAACATTGGTTGAATTTATCAAAAGCGCACCGATTGGAATGCAATGTGCAAACTGAATCTAATCGCATTTGAGTACTTTGATTTCCTCCATTAGGCTGCCTGTAGAGCATGCAGAGAATGTGAAGAGGTGCTGTTACACTGCTTGAGCTGAGCACAGTCTTTTTCAGCAGTACGACCAGTAGTGAAAACATCGAAGAGGCTGAGCTACAGAAAGTAAAAGAGAATAGCAGGTCAGGGGCAGGAGGAGGAAGAATATAGAGAAAGGGGGGATGATTTTGGAAAACAAAAGGCACACACAACACAATAGCAAGAAGATTCAGAAACAATGGGGACAGACTGAAGAGGAGAGGTAGGAGAAAGTTTGTATTCCATTGGAGAGGCAGCCAGACCCCCGGAAGCAACACCTCCATATCTATTTCTGCCATTGGATAATGGGTCTAGCTGATAGCACCCCCAAAACACACACACACACACACACACACACACACACACACACACACACACACACACACACACACACACACACACACACACACGCCCCCCGGTGTGGATGAGAGGCTTCGGCACAGTCGAGCTGAAGGGAAATCGGCTTTGAGGCTGGCTGCTACCTGTGGCGAATTAGGCTCTATTGACCAGAGGAGATGACTCTGTGCTCCCTCCTGTTGAGGGCTTTAGAACTCTATACACACACAAACACACACCCACACACACAAGCAGGTGGCATGAAGGTGTACACAGCTGACTGGCTGTTCTGACACTGAGCTGAAGACAGAATCGGCTGATTTCAACTCAGCCTTCTTCTTCTCCCGTCCCTCCCACCCTACCTGTATCCTTTTACTCAACACAGTGAAATTGTCGCTGCACGGCCTGTCACAGCGGTTGAGAGACAACCTGTGCTTAGTGGCCTTTTCAGCACTAGCATTTAGCCGGCCGGGAGAAATGCCAGACTCCATTCTGCACCAATACCTCTCTATTGCTACAACGCTTATTTTCTCATGACTCACTGGAGAAGACTAAGAGGTGAAAGTAATAACCATAAAGAAAGCGTTTGCAAATTTCCAGTTGAGTTTGAAAACGAAAGCATGTAATGTTGAAATCCAAAGAAAATGAATGTGTCGACATAATTCGTGAATTAATTATCATTGTTTCTATTTAAGCATCAGCGTCTGGGTTGCTTGGCAAACGTCCAGAAGATTCCTAAGAAACTGTGGGGCCCTTTATAGGTTTCTCATTTCCAAAGTATGAAAGATGATAAAGATAAGATAGCAGTCTCCGTCTATGAGGCGTTTAGAATGCAGACAGAAATAAAATGAAAATGAATCACCGCTCGACAGAATGATTTAAGATAAAAGGCCCGCTACTACAGCCAATAAATCAAAGACGCATCTGCTGTAATCCAAGCACATTCCTTTAGCATGTCAACTAACAACTGTATCTTGTCTACACCCCTCACTCAACAGGGCTGCGTGTCATGGCTTGCAGGGATGTTGAGCTCCATGTTCTAGTTACATGTACAATTAAATCTCTTTGAAGTTTGTATTTATGTTGTTGCTACCTACTATCAGCAGTGAAATTGTGGCAGTAATTCATTTCAGGCCTAGTTAATACCAGGCTACAACTAATGTGTTTGGCTCTCCTAAAGCATTCCATTGGAGAGGGATTAGGAAAATTGTTGTGGGGTGGATTTGCTGAGGCGAAGTCTGGGCATTGCTTTGTTTTTCTCGGCAAGCACAGTCATAGAATATACACTAAAGAGCTTCATTAACATTAAGTAGTATGTGTAGGAGATAAGTAAAAGGCTATAATAATCCTGTTGGGATATTCATGTCATGTCTATGACGCGAACTAATCCTCTTTACTGTGCGCAAAAGAGGCTAATATGAATGTATGCTGTACTTCCCAGGGAGATTCGTGCATAAACAATGCGGCATCTCTGTCCACTGCTGTTCCAGTGTACGTAGCGTGTCAGCCCCTAATCCTGCCAGCAACACAATAATCTCATTACCTTTATGCCATAGCTTGGTTTAATTTGATCCAATGAAAGCTGGGAGGAATTAACCCATAGGTATTACAATGGACACTCTTCTCAGGCAGTCACTTCTTCACAGAGATGTCTAAGTGGATAAGTTTATAAGCAGCCACAGTGAGGGATGGGTATTGATCTGTTGCTACAGTATAGTGCTGCAGCAGCCTTTTCCATACTTTCTGTGATTCAACGCATGAACTAAATATTTCAATTTTCCACGGTGGCAGCACATGGCTGACACAACTGAATGCCTTCACTCTGCAATACTCCTTTGATTATGACAGAAGAAGCAAATCCCATATATGGCCTATATGGAAACCAGGACAGGATCCTTGATTATTATGTCTCTGCTGCACTAAGCCCAAGGGAACCTTCAATTAGCTGTCACACACTGTGAGCGCATGGAGTGATATTCTCCAAAGAGCTGCCAATAGTCTGGACAGACATATTCATAACCTCTTTGTATGATTCAACGCCTACACATTGTTGCACTTGAATGTATCACAGTGGTTCTGTTAGTACCGCTGGGGTTATAGGTCTGGGATTGATGACAGACAATGATAAAAGGAATCCAGGAGAGGAAAAAGGTGAGGGGGGCTCGGCTTGCCGACTGTTGTCAGAGCATATGCATACACGTCGTGAGCACTAAGGAACACACACACACACAAAGATGCACACACACGGTACCCAGATGAGCCTCTTTACCAAGACTCGGTAGTAATGGCGTGGTGACAAATGAAAACCGACAGCATGTGTGTCTTTTATATTATGCTTAATGGCTTCACTTTCAGTAGGCACCGCATGGTTGTTCATCAGGGTAATGTTTCATACACATTACCAGGTGCTGTTTCTCTTGCGAAGGAGGGAAAGAAGGGGTAAGTGAACACCTATTTAGCACTTGTTTCAGCTAATTTACCAAGTAAAAAGTTAAAGGATTTATTAGATCTCACTTGTCCTCTGCTCTATCCCCTAATCTGTCATGGCATAATCTCATAATGATGTGGAGCAAGGAGGTTTAGCTCTTTGTTCCCATATTGTAGGAGATGTACACCTTGCCAAGGTAAAATCATCATGTCTTCTTTAGTACAGTGTGACATTTGGGTCCTAGGTGGCAATCATCTCCTAATGGAAGAGGAATAGACAGTCAGTCTAACATCAGTCTGTTTGAGGCCATCAGAACAGGATGAATCTAGAGGATGGAAAATAAATGAATAACCCATCAGCTTTCAAGTCATTTGGAACAAAGCGTAGGTTAATTGAAATAAGGTGTCAGGCTGCGAAAAAACTAAGTGTAAATTATTTCCTTTGCAAATGCTGTCTCAGTCACAAACATGCATTTCACTCAGTCCTCTCTGGGTGCAGCCTTCCTTCTGAGTTCATATGGAAATGGAGCTGTTCTTGAGTATGAAATAGTGTGATGATTTACAATACGTTTGTGATGCATTTTGATATCTACCAATAATAACAATAATACACAAAGGAAATTGGATTACACGTCTTTCACCGTGCGCTGCATTTGTAGCTGTGGGGGGGGAACACGGCGAATGATTGCTTGGGTATCGGCAGTAAATATGAAGAAAGCTGAGTGAAAATTCGGATAATTTCCCATGTGTCACGTCCTTGTGAGGGTGTGTACAGTATACGTCCATGTCTTGGGGAACAAAACCTAATAGCTGGATTATGTTATTTACTGCTGTTTGCAATATTTCTTTTTCAAACAATACAAACTCATTGATTGTTATGGACAACGGCAGGCCCACACACACACGAAAGCGAGATTATAAACACATGTACACATTCATATACACCCTCAAACACAGAATGACACCAAAGTATAGAGAACAGACACAGCAGCTGCCAGACTAGAGCCTGCTTTTTTCCCTCCTCGCAGCTTTCTCTGTACTGTACGTGCCTCAAATTTCAAGCATTAACTCCAAGTGTGCCGAGCAGACTGATATTTAATGCTGTGCGCACAGGAGGATGTCTGTTTCAGGGGTGTCCGCACACACACATA